ACCTGAGTGATCGGCCAGAGTGTAGCAGATCAAACAGGTGGTGGGTGGTGTGCAACAGGTCACCTGTGAGGGCCCTGGTTTTCCTGACGCAATGACACAGCCACCTGCACAGCCTTCCTGTTCTCAGTAGTGCCACCTGCATAACCTTTGGCTGTACAGACTATACAGTGAGAGGGTTGAGAGGGTTAAACTGTCACTCGTGATAATCACATTCCCAATCCTCCAAGAGAGGCCTCTTCCTTCTTCTAGGGATCAGAGAGAGGTCTCGCTGTCTGCCTAGCCCTGCATGTGTCAGTCTAACTTACAATGCCTCACTATGTGTAAAATAACAAATGACACACATGATGCTATCCCATGATATCCCAGTTATGCACCACAGAGGTAATATTGTTAAGACATGTGATCAATACATTAAATAAAGAAATTTGTCACCACAGCAGCCTACAGAGTCCCGTAAGTCTAACCACGGTAACCACTGCACAAATGCAACACACTCACTTTCTAACAGGACTCTGCAATCAGCCATTCCTTAAACTAAATCCTAACTTTGTCATCAAGAAGATTAAAAGAACAAATACATGTTTGTAGTGTTTCGTCACCTGAAGCTCCACAATTAAAAAAGCATCAAGACTTTGGCTGTTTCTTATGAACAAGTGACGTGTGTAATAATTTTATTATGATACTAATACTTCTACTAGTATTAGTAGTAGTACTAGTAGTACTCCCAACTCTTGATCGTGGCTCAAGAGTTGGGAGTTCGCCTTGTAATCGGAAGGTTGCCTATGTCCTTGGGCAAGGCACTTCACCTACCGCCTACTGGTGTTGGCCAGAAGGGCCGATGGCGCGATATGGCAGCCTCACTTCTGTCAGCCTGCCCCAGGGCAGCTGTGGCTACAACTGTAGCTTGCCTCCACCAGTGTGTGAATGTGTGTGTGAATGTGTGTGTGAATGGGTGGATGACTGGATGTGTAAAGCGCTTTGGGGTCCCTAGGCGGGACTAGTAAAAGCGCTATACAAATACAGGCCATTTACCATTTACTAATAATGATGTTAACAATAATAATAAAAACCAAACCATTACTACTACTAATAAAACAATAAAAGTTTTGCCCCGGCAGTTTTGCTGCAGATCAAGTTCAGACTCTGCAGCCTTTTTAGAAAGAAGAAGAAGAAGAAAGTGTACTTTATTGGTCCCCGTGGGGAAAATCCCTCTCTGCATTTAACCCATTCACTCAGTGAAGCAGTGGGCAGCCACTGGGCGCCCGGGGAGCAGTGTGTAGGGACGGTACCTTGCTCAGGGGTACCTCAGGGTAGCTGTTCAGGGGAATCGAACCCCCGACCTTCCGATCATGGGGCCACCACTTTTTAGTGCTGCAAAGAAAATACAAATAAACTGAGTGCGAGTGTTTTTCTACAAGTATTTGCACAGACATGCTGACTATTTGCTGGGAGACGTCCCTGCTTCTCGTAGAATAGCAGGTAAGCTGTTCTCTGCCGCTGCTCACACACAGACTCACACGTGGCCTGGCACAAACTCGTCATTGTACGTGAGCCAGCTGTCTGTGACGTCGTATTTTTTGCTGATCTGGTGAACGCCATTGCAGAAGTAATGTCCTGAGAGGAGAGCACATATGTAATAAACTGAAAAGGATAAGCGGAAGCGAATGGATGGATGGATGGACTGTGAGAAGGTGGGGACATTTCTGCTCGAAATCCACCAGACAGCTGCTCACTTTTGTTTTATCTCACCAGCTCACCATTTTGGAGATGTTGGCTAATCACTCTGCATTCCTTCGCACATAACTGTGTCTGTGCAGAAAACATGCTCTCTACCTTCTGGAAACATGTGACTACAGAGCCTTTACATGTAGAATCACTATAAAAACAATGTCCAAAATGAGTCTAAGTTTGGCATTGAAAACACGTCCACAACAACATTTAGAATATAAATAACGCATACACCGAGGTTCTACGGACGTTAGCTCTAGGAGTTCAATAGAAGTTAGAAGCAGTGGGAATCTGCAAATCTTTTACCTCGTGACCGCTGGCATAGTTTTCAGCCCCCTCTCCAGCAACCCTTAAGTGCTTAAGAGGAAGGAAGAAGGAAAGGAAGGAAGGATAACTACAGTTTATGATGTCAGCTATGATAATTAAAGGTTTGTGCTTTCTAGACATTCCCTGTAATGGAAAGAGCAGGGGGGTGTAGTACTTCATCACTGCCAGAGGGAGGCACTGTGGAACCATCAAACAAAAAACCACCAGGTATGTGGACACAAGGTATGTGGCAAACTCATCTTTCCCATTGTAATTAAGGAGCTGATATTCATCAGGTCACAAAGTCAAGAAGTGGAAAAGAAATCCTACATTCTAACATGTTGAATGTTAGAATTTGTTGGATTGTGTGTCCACAGGTGTTTGTACTTTGCGTCTTAATAAAATGACGGTAAAAGGCTCCGCCCACTTCCTATCCATGTCTTACCATGCAACGACTCTGTGAATGCACTGGAGAGGTGTAGTGGGAGAGTCCTCCGTCAGGACTGAGATATGTGTGTCGACTTTTTATTCTCCCTCAAGATTATCGTGCCATAACGCAGCCCAGAGCAGCTCTGCTAACAGAATTAATTTTGAAACAAATACTGGAGCTAGTGGAACTTGCAAAAAACCCTCCTTTACAATAACGGAAGAAAGTATGTCACTAAATATACTAATGACCTTTATATTGCAAAAAACAAAGAAACAAAAAAGCCCCAGAGAAACTAAAATACAAAAAAGATAAATATGCTTCATGAGTTCAAAAAGTAAAAATTAGACATAAGAAAAGAAGCATTCATTTATTATTTAAATTAATTGTTTAGAAACAGATAAAAAAATGCAAGAAAAGATTTTGGTATTAGCAGCAAATGTTAGCTAGGTCAACTAGGTTGGATGATCAAGTGTGAACATCTCTATCCCTGTTTTACAGTGAGCTGAAGTGAAACCAGGGAACATAAATGTTGTTCTGGTAGTGAGAAAACCAGTTCATC